GCGCGAGAGAGAAAGAGGGGGATGGAGGGAGAGGATAGAGGAATCTGCTCTGGTAGCCTCGGAGAGTCCTGGGGATGGATCAGCTTAAGAAGGGGAAACCTGGGGGATCCCCTCTTCCCAATCAGAGCAGCCCCTTCTTTAGGGAAGGAGGTGCCAACCACGAGGCTTGAAATATGGCACCCAGAGCCAACAAGGCAGCCTTGCAAGTGGCACATCCGGGAAGCGAGGCATCCTTGAGCTGCTGCCACCTGGACCAGCTGCAGCTTCAGAATGGTCTTCGAGGGCAGCCCCACCTAGAGGGCCCTGGGCTAGTTTAGACCGGAGGTGCTTAAGGCACGGGTGTATACGGCCTGCTCAGGTTGGCCGGCTGAATTGCGTCCGTGCTTGCGCAGCTGAGCTGCCCTCTCCCCTCCTCAGGCAGGGACACTCTATGCTCCACTGGGCTACCGGCCTCCTTCCCCGGCACACCAAGGTCTGCTCTGGGGAGCTGGCATTCAGCCAGGCCGGGGTCAGCTGGCGCAGCTGCTGTAGGGTTTGTGGGAGGCCAGCCTGCCGCACTGCTGCTGAAGAGGAACAGCTGGACCCAGCTGCCGTGAGAGCTGGCTGCCCTCCAGCGGGCCACAAGGGTGGCGTAAGAGATGCTGCTGCCCCTCTTCTCTGGTTGCACCGGCCGGCAGCCCTCACACCATCTGTGGGCAGCCTGAGAGCCCCACTGCTGATGGGGCTGGCTCTGGAAATGGCTGCCCTGCTCGGCCCCAGATGGCCTGGGCTGCCCTGGCCCTCAGTAGCGAAAGGAAGGGCTCCCCGCCCTCCTGCCCGGGGCCCAGAGGGAAGGAGGGAGGGCAGGAGGGGCCTGGTCAGTACCCTGGCAAGGCTGTTCCTGGCTCTGCCCTCCGGCCCCAGCGGCCTTTGTCCTGCTTTGCACACACCCCCGACCCCCCGCTGTTCATGGCTGGGAGATTCTCCCCGATGCATCGTCGGCCCCGAGGTGCCTTTCCCAACTTTCCTGGCTTTTCCCTGGAAGGCCTTTTGCTTCTCACCCAAGGAGCTCCTCTGGCCCAGTGCAGCACTGGACTTCTTCAGAGGTTTCTTGGACGAATAAGCTCCTTTGGGTCGTCCCTCCTTGGTTGCCAGGACCGAGGCAGGCCAAGGGCCGGCCCCGTCCAGCCCCCATCCACTCAAGCACGCATCCCAGGGGCGCAGGCAGAAGGCAAATGGGGTGGAGGAACGGGATGGCCCCGGGCTAAATGCGTTGTGTGTAGAGGTGTCTTTGTGGTCAGGTGTGGCCCCCAAGCCTCTAGAGCCCCACAAAGTTGTCAGCTCAAGGGTTGCATAATGAAACAGTGCAAAGCCCGACTTCCTCCTCCGCTGTGGCCAAGCTCGTCCCTCTGCAACTAAAGGAGGACCACGCAGGACCCGGGGAGCGTTCAAAGGCAGCCCACGGATGTTCTGGCAGGGCGTGGACAATTCGGTGGGAGACAGGGCTGCCGGGAAAGAGAATTCCTCAATCCTAAAGCTGGAAGGGACCTTGGAGGTCATCTGGCCTAACCCCAGGTGTCCAGCCAAGTGCCGGATCCATGGTGGCATTTCTGGCAGAGGACCGGCCGGCCCCTCTCTGGTGGCCTTCGGCAAGGAAGCAGCCAAAGCTCCAGGGAGCAGCCAGGTGCCTCTTCCGGCCAGGATGGCCTGCCTGGCGCAGCTTCTTCGGGCCTTTCAGACCCTGGCTGGACCCCGGCCTGTCGCAGGAGAGGGCGCCCGCCCCCCTCCCTTAACTGAGCCCCTGGGGCGGCCTTGGCCAGCCCCACCCGCAGGCCCGGCCCGGAGGTGGGCCACAGCGCCTCGGCGCACAGCCCGGCCCCTCTCCAGGCCCAGCGCCCGCCGGCCCAGCGCCCCCTCGCGCCCGTAGAAGGGCTTGCCCCGCAGGCGGCTCCCGGCGGGCTCCAGGCGGGCGGTAGGGGCCCGGCGCGGCTCAGGGCGGCGCGCCGGGCGAGCGGCAGCGGATGCTGATCCGGCCGTCCAGTCACCCCCGCCTGCCCGGAGGCCGCGCGGTCCTCGCCCTGCAGGGGACCCGGGGGCGCCTCTCCCCCCGACGGGCACCAGGTGGCGGCGGGCGGGAGAAGCCGCGCAGCCCGGGCATCGTCCTCCCCGCCGCGCCTCTCCGGGGGAGGTGGCGGAGGAGCCCCGGGCCGGCCGGGTGCGCGCCCACCTCCGGCTCCCCGCTGCCCACCGAGCATCGCCGCGGGGAGACCGGCGTCCGGAGCGGGGGAGCGCCCGGTGCTGAGCCCGGCTGTGCGGGAGCGGCTCCCCCGGGCGGCCCGGCGGTCGGAGATTTGGGGCGCCGGGCGGGTCGGCGCACGAGTCCCGTCTCGGCTTCCCCGCCTGGCGTCGCTCCGGCCCGCGGGAGGAGGCGGGGGCGCCTCTCGCCAATCAGGGCGGCGGCTCTGCCCAGGGGAGCCCGGCGGCCGGGGGGACTGGGCGCGGCTGGACTGCCGGAGCCCCCCCGGGCTTCTGGGCATCGGGCAGGAGAGAAGCCGGCAGGAGCTGGCGGCGGTTGCGATTGTGGGGAGAACAAGCGCCGTCACCCGGAGGCTCCGCGGGGGATTTGGGGAGGGTCCTTTGTGGGTCGCAACCTGAGGAGGCGGCTCCCCCCGCCGCTTTCCTCCCCCCCCGGAACAAAGCTATGCCCCCCCCCCCCCCCCCCCCCCCCCTACGAGGACGGAGTCTGCAGCCCGCCCAGCGCAGTCCCTGCCCCCCCCCCACCCCAGGGAAGGCCCCTAGGAGGGAGGGGCGCCGTGGCAGGTCCAGAAACTCTGGGCTGGCGGTGGGGAATAGTCCCAAGACCCCGCCCCGCCCCACCAGCAAAGGTCGTTCTGTGCAGGGGGCGGCTCCCCTCCTTGGACCCTCCGGTCTAGGAACCGGGGAAGGGGTCCCTTCCCTCTGAGAGGTGGGGGAGAGGCCTATGGCCCTTGACCTGTGGGCAGCCTGGCCGGCTCAGGAATTCTGGGAGGAAGTCCAGAAGTCATAAAGGTGCCACAGTTCCCCCCCCCCACCCCCCTTGTTATAAAGGGGTATTTTGGCCCCTCCTGTCACTGTGTAGCTCTTAGTCAGCACCCTGTGGCTTCTTCCCTGCATGCGCTGGGTGTTCCTGGAAGTGACTTGTAAGCCCCAGTTTCCCCCTTTCCGTCTGCAGGCGCCTCGGGCACCTTTCTAAGTCTGGATGTAGCAGGCTGAATCCCCTCCTGGGCCCCCCAGGCCCCCCCTCCTCCCACCCCGTGTGGCTTGGAGAAGCTGTGCTGAGTCAGCAGGAGAGAGAGGCCAAGTATGGGAGTCCTCAACTTATGGCCACAGTTGAGCCCAACATTTCTGTTGTTGAGACTGTTGTTCAGTGAATTTAGCCCTATTTTATGACCTTTCCGGCCACCGTTGTTAAGTGGATCACTGCAGCTGTTAAGTTAGCAACGGTTGTTAAGTGAACCTGGCTTCCCCATTGACTTCGCTTTGCAGAGGGTTGCAAAAGGGGATCAACCCAGGGACCCCGTCATAACTTTGAGTCAGTGGCCAAGCACCTGGGTTCTGATCCCCTGACCCTGCAATGGCTGTAAGGGAGACAAGTGGTCCTAAGCCACTGTTTTCAGGGCCATTTTAACTTCGACTGGTCGCTAATGAACGGTCCTAAGCCAAGGACTCTAATGCCGGCCAGCTTAGTTTGCATCAAAAGCCCACGAGCCTTTCTGGGCAAAGGCCTTTATTCTGCTCGGAAGCTCCCCTGGCCCCGGGGAGGCCTGGCTTCTCCCTCCGGGCTGTGCCTAGAAGTAGGTGATGGGGTCCGCCTTGGTCTTGTCCAGCTGGAAGCCGGAGAGCTCAGCCTGCCCACCTTGATCCGGCAGGGCCTGGAAGATCTTCAGGTGGACGTAGTCGTTCTCCCAGTCCCCGCATTGCACCTGGGGGGAGGGAGGGAGCAGCGGGACGTCAGGCGCTTGGCCCCCTCCATCTGGGGGGCTGCCTCCGGACGAGGGCCCCGGGCCCCACAGCCCCGTCTCCAGGGGATGACAGGCGCTGCTTGTGGGGCTTCCAGGAAGGAATCCCGGGCCGTCCTCTCCCGCCTGAGGCCTCCCAAGGGGAAGGCCCCTCCCATCCTTCCCAGCGCTGCCTGGCTCCTGAGGTTCCAGTGGTGGGGCTGGGTGGGGGCCTGAGCCCACCTGGCTAAAGCCCCAAAGCGGAAGACGCGGCTCTCCTCGCCCTGAGGGGCCCTTCCAAGCCAGGGGTCTTTGCCCAGAGGGGCTGCTGGGGGCAGAGGGAGGAAGGCTGTGGGCTCCAGGAGGCCCCCAAGGACAGGCCAGGGCAGCCCGCCCCTCAGCGCCTGGGGAGGTGGGAAGGGTCTTTCGAGGGCAGCCTTTGTGGACGCCCAGACTCCTCCCGGATGGCCTGTAAGGGGCTGGTCCCCCCGCCCTCCCTCCCCCGCTTGGGGTTGGGGGCGTCCCGTGATTCAGCCACTGACCTTGATGAAGTAATTGGTGCCAGCGACCACCTGAGTACGGTACGAAATGGCCTCGTAGGTGGCAAATCTCCTGTTCGTCTCCTCCTCCAGCGCGCCTTTCACCTGGTGACAGGAGGGAGGAGGTCCAGGCAGTGAGGCAGCAAGGGGAGATGCCCGGAGGTGCCTGGGCAGACGACGGGGACTCGAGGGGTGCGTGCTTTGGGGGCCCCTCTTGGCAAGGCAGGGAAGGGATCTGGACGCAGGGCTTGGGACCCACCTGGTCAGCAAGGCCTTGGATTTCAGGGGTGGCTGGTTCCGGAGGAGAAAGCTCGCCAGGCATGGTGCTCCAGGTCTTGGGAGAAGTGGCTGGCAGTCTGGGCGGGTGTCCGGCTGAGGAGCCTCTGGGGGCAGCCCTGACCTCGGCCTTTTATGGCCACTCCGGGGAGCTGCCTGTGGCGATCAGGTGTCCCGCTGCTGCTGCTGCTGCTGCCGCCGTCACGTGAGGCCATCCCTGCGCCTGGCCAGAGCCGTTCCACCCGTGGCCCTGCCCTCCTGGGGGACGGGTGGAGGAGAACCAGCCCGAGCCTGTTGGGGCCCTTTCGCAAGAGGGCCGGGTGCCAGAGAGTGAGTCAGGGCCCGCCTGCAGGCCAGAGCAGAGGCTGGCAGGAAAGCAGCTGATCTCAGGTGGGGTGGGGCTCCTGGAAGCCCCCCTGGCTCCTGTTCCCCCCCCCCCATCCATCCTCACGTGGGAGCTCCAGCATGGCTTCTCCCACATCTCTCTCGGCTCCAGCTGCCTCCACCAGGGGGAGCTGCTAGGGGCCTTCAGTGGCATCTTGCGCCTCTGAGCTGAGACGTTTCCTTGCAGAGGCGTCATGGCCCAACCAGGGGGCCCCATCAGGGCTAGAAGGGAGGGGGCTTGCAGAGTGAAGAAGGAGGAGAGGAAGAGGAGGACGGGGGAGGTGATTTCCTTGCAGACGTTTCATGACCCAACTAGGGAACACCATCAGGGCTAGAAGGGAGGGATTGGCTCTCGCTTGATAGACAAGCGTTGGTGGGGATGGTCTTGGGGGTTCCTTGAGTAAGCTGTTGTTTACTGTTAGCTTCTTTGTCTGCGCTGGAAATTCCTTGATTGGTGTATTGTTTGCTTATTGATCGTTGGTCTAGTGCTAATCGTGGTACTAAGATCCTTTTTTTGGCTTCGGGAGTGTCTCCTTTGAATGGCCTGTAGATGTCGTATATCTCTATGGGCCTGTTGATGGCTGGTGTGCCTGGATGCCAGGCCGCGAGGGATTCTCTAGCGTTTCCAGACCTGGCTTGGTTGAGATGCGGAAGCTACGGCTCAGTCTGTCCATCAGGCCAAAACATCACCTCCTCCCCAGTATTGATCTCAAGCACCGGATTAACGTCCAGACCGCTGGCAGGTCAGTGCCTGGAGGAGGGGAGAGGTTGGGGCCGTGCCAGGGGCAGGGAGATTTCCCCGTGGAAGACCAGTGACTCAGCAGAGGCACCACGAGGTTGTGATCGGCCAGGTAAGAAGGGAAGTGCTGGAAAGCGCCTGGGTGGTGGCACGTAGGCAGCTTTCTGGGTCTTCCTGGATGTTCCAGTGGCCGTAACTGAGATAAGGAGGAAGAGGAGCAGCCGAATAAAGACCAGGCTGGAAACGAGGGAAAGAGAGGCGAGACGGACCAAGGGAAGGAACTCCCTTCCTTCCTTCCTTCCTTCCTTCCTTCCTTCCTTCCTTCCTTCCTTCCTTCCTTCCTTCCTTCCTCCCTTCCTTCTTGTCTCGGTTTCTGGGTTTGCGGGCTTTGCAAAGAATACGTTCACTTGCACATGTCCTTAGATCACACGGCTTTATGGGCCAAAGCGCCTCTGTCTGCAGAATGTGCTCCCTGGTGCATTGACGTGATTTACCCAGCTCGGTGAGTTAACCTGGAGCTGCTCAGGATCAAACTCCTGGCAATGGGCAGAGTTAGCCTGCAATGCCGCATTCTAACCACTGCGCCACCGTAGCCCCACAACTTCTGGAGGCAACTTCTGGGTGCTCCTCCATCACAGAAGGTTTTCAAGGAAAGACTGGACAGCCGCTGGTCCAGAATGGACTAGGCAGGTCTCCTGCTTGAGCAGCGGGGGTTATACTAGAAGACCTCCGAGGTCCCGTTGTGGCTGGTGTCCTGCAATTTCTCTGCAGGGAGGAGTTCCTCTTTTATTTCTGGGAGGGAGTTCACTGTTTTACCCCCTCCCATTGCTAAGTTGGATGGGCTGCCAGCCGCCGCGTCCTCCGCCTAGCCCAGCCCCAACCTGCCCCACCCATGTGGGAACTGGGGCAAAAGGGGAGGGGGGCCCAGCCCTGGAGTCAAGGAAGCAACGGCGAAGGCAGAAGTGGGGGGGGGGGCGGGGGGAGACACCCAGCCTGCTGCAGCCAAGAGATGGCTCCCCCCTCGAGAGTTTCTCCATGGGCCTTGAGGCTGGGGGGGAGGTGGACCTCCTGACTCAGGTGGGGTGTGTGTGTGTGTGTGAACGCAATGCAGTTGGGATCCCTGGAGCTTGGGGTGCTCAGACCATCTCACACCCATGTCCGGACTTGCTCTGAAAAACGGCAGGGATGGAGCCTGCGGGTAGCTTGGTGGCTCTCGCAGGATGTCAGCCCCGGGTCCCTCCTTGCTCCAAATCTGGATGATTCTTTGTAAAACGTTCAGCCCTGCTTCCTATCCAGGCCCTGGGAGCCCTGCGGAGTAGACTCTCTTCCCTTCGTTCTAACCCTTTAGAGCAGGGGACTCCAACCGTGGCCACTTGAAGGCTTGTGGACTCCCAGAATTCTGGAACCGGAAGTCCACAAGTCTTCAAGTGGCCACGGTGGCTCTTTTAACCATTCTTCCTGGGATTGAGTCGCCACCCTCTTTGTCCCGCCTTCCTGCTCCGCGTACTCAGCACCGCCTTTTCCATGGTGGTGAGCAGAGGTGGACCCGGTGGTCCCGAGGTGGCCTGAGCCAGGGCAGTGTAGAGCGGGGACACCACCATTCCCTGTGAGCTTGGTACCAGGCTGATGCAGCCCAGCCTGTGCTCCATCCAGACCCCTGGATCGTGGCTAAAAATAGGAATGGGAAGAGTAGTCCAGGCAAGGAGGACCTGGGTCTCCTTGGAGGCTTCTTTGGACCCAGAGATCAGCTCAAGCAACGCAACACCCGCGCTTCCGCCAATCGTCAAGAACTCTCTCTCTCAGGTGACGGGAATGCCGGCTTCTGTACCCGTAAGGCCCGTGAGGCACCCGGAGAAGCTTGGCCGGCACACGCTCTGCTCCCTCCCCAGCCTCTTCTGGCAAGAGTGTGCCAGCAGCCTGGAGGTCTTGGATGACGCAGAGTCCCTGTCACCGAGCCTCCGATGATTATCAGGGCCCAGGGAAGCTGGTGGAGAGGTGATCAGCACGGACGGGCCAGTTGCTCCACGGGAAGAGCTCAAGGCTGGCCACGTCAGGTCGGGGCAGAAACCCAGCGGCTGTGTCCTTCAGCAAGCGAACCAGAAGAGAGAAGCTACTGGTGAGCCCTAGGGAGCCCCCCGCACTCCGTCCCGGCAGAGGGGGCCCATTGCGGATCCTGCCAGGCAAGGAATTCCAAAAGGGCCGCAGGACCTGGCTCCGCCTTGGGGGCCTCATGCGGGAGGTTTACCCAGAGGGGGCCGACTCGTTGCACCGGATCCCTCCGTCCTTGGCCATCTTGGGTTAGTGCTGCTGTTTGTCAATGGTTCTTTCCGCTGGGCTCAGTGGTGGTTTTGCTTCCAGTGTGGTCATCTTGTCAGCTGCCCAGGAGGGCTGGATAGGAGACGGGAGGCCGATCAACGTCATCAATCAATAAACAAGCCAGCCTCCATGCTTCTCAGGACAATCCCCTCCAAAACCGGGAAGAGAGCCGTGAAGGGTGGCATGCAGCGAGACCCCCACTCACACCCACAAGGGGCTCCTGGTGCCCCCCCGAGGGGACTCTCTGCGCTCAGCCCCTTCTGGGGGAGCTGCCCAACAGCGTCTCTCCTGCAGAAGCAGCCGCTTACTCCCCCCCCCCCCCCGCCCAGCTCGGCTGTCCTTGCCATGAGGTCTGCCATGGGGGGAGCGGGTGGGTGGGTGCTGAGCCTCCTGGAGACTCTGCCTCAAGAAGGAGGGGGCCGCATCCCAAACTCCACTCGGACTGGCCGCTAGGAAAACACCCTGCCTGAACCTGGTTGGTTACCCTTGAGTGAAGCACAAGCAAGCGTCAAGGTCATGATAAAAACCCGCGATGGTTCCCCTTCCGCAGACCCACACAAACCCTCACTTCTCCACCTGCTTTGGGGACCAGGACGATGGGCAACGCCCCCGGCGTCCTTGTTCAGTCAAGCCCCGTTGCCTCCTGTGAGAAGCTGGGGAGGCCCGGAGGGCTTTGGGCCGATGGAGGTCCAGGTGCTGGACGGGGTTTGGGAGAAAACGCCCAGGGATTCCGGGGGGGAGTGGGGGAGAGAGGGAGGGAGGGAGGGAGAGTAGCTGGAGAAAAGCGGGAAATGGAGGAAAGAGACGTGAGAGGGACAAATTGAAGTGGAACTGGGAGGAAGCATGAAGATTTCTCACGTTACTTCCTGCTCTGCATTCAAGGCTTTTGTCAATAATACTTTCACGTGTATATACCATTCGATCACGTTCCTTTATTGGCAAAAGTATTTTTTCTTGCAGAATAAAGACCCTCATTTGTGCAGACTCTGTGTGTGTGTGTGTGTGTGTGTGAGGATCAGCCCCGCTCCGGGGGACGGGGGGACCTTCTGCCTATGGGGCTCCTCCGTCCTCCAGGGCCTGGTTGTCCCAAAGGTGCTTTTCCAAAAGGCAACTGGACTTTATTGAGTTTTTTCCTTGAAAGTGTTTCAGTTCTCACCCAAGAAGCTGCTTCAGAACTGATGAAAATTCTTGGATGAGAAGCGAAACTTTTTCAAGGGAAAAACACAGGGAAGTCCGGTTGCCTTTTGGAGAGGCCGCCCGCTTCCCCCCCGGACCATCTTCTGGGGTGCTGCTTAGCAGAGGCAGAGGGGACCTGGCCCAGGATCTTGGGGGTCCCTGTCAAGCAGGCGTGTCCAACCCGCGGCCCGCAGGCTGCATGCGGCCCAGGTCGGCTCGTAATGCGGCCCAGTGCCCACCCCAACCTTCGTGCAAGAGGACGAGCCAGCGAGGAGGAGGAGGAGAGGCAGGCGTGAGGCGGGGTGAGGCAAGCGCCACGCCAAGCAGCAACAGAAAAGGCAGGCACCGTCAGAGCGCTCCTCGTGCCGAGGCAGCCGCAGCCCAAGAGTCCCGCTCCACCACCTCCTGCTGTTGCCGCCGTCACCGCCGCTGCTGCCGCCAGAGCTGTTGTAGCGGCTTCTGCCGCCGCCGCTGCTGTACCGAGCCTCCCGGTCCTCGCCTTCCAGTCCTGCCGCATCCAGCCGGGCCATTTGCAGGAGGAGAGGTAGGCGCGAGGCGGGCGAGCTTTCTTTCCCTCCACCCCCCGCGTTCCTTTCTCCCTGGTTGACTGTTTTTTATATCTTATGAAAAAAAATGTTTTCTATGGTTTTTTGGGATGATCAGGTATTGTTACTGTTATTTTATTTTATTTGCGGCCCAAACCAAATTTTCATCTTCTAATGTGGCCCAGGGAAGGTGAAAGGTTGGACAAGCCTGCTGTCAAGCAAGAAGAGGCTGCAAAAATTGGGCTGGCCAGAAGAGGGAGCTACAAGCATAAGCCGGGAATCCGGTCTGGATGTCCCAGATGGGGTCCGGCCCTCCGGGGGATTGGCTGCCTGTGGAGTCCCATGGGCAACTTTCCCTTGGCCAAGGCCCCTGGCCCTCATGCCCTGGGAGGCTGAAGGAAGACCCCTCCCGCCGTGCTGTCTTATGCGGGAGGGGGTCCATCTTGAACCCGGGTTGTGCAAGAACAAGTCAAACAAAGCCCAGACCCCTGTGAAGAACGGAGCGTCATTTGTCCCCCCAAGCAGAGAGATTCCCCTGGGGGGGGGGCAGCTACGCAGCAAGGGGGGGGGGTGTTTGGCCTCAGGGTGGGTCGTGAGATATGTGTGCTTGCTGGTTCTCGGGTGACCCTCGAGGGGTGTGGATGTGCATACGTGTTGATCTGGAGAAGCGGGGGATGAAAGCAGGTGAGGAGGATTGGATCTCTGTTTGAACTGAGCGTTAGGATTATGTTTACACTGCGTTAACTGAGCTCTGCTTGTGTGGGTTCACAACTGGAAATAAGTTTGCTGTAAGTTTAAAGATTTCAGAGGCTGCTAATCAGTTACTTTGGGGGGGACGCGGGTTTTCCCTATGCAATATTTCTAACAGTTCCATACCTTTATAAGCTCTTCCCTCGGGGGAGGGCAACAGGTAGGTGCTGTCCAGACTTGGCCATCCCGGAGCTCTGCCCTTCCCCTGCCAATGTCAGGCCTTTGGGAGCCAAAGAGAGTCCCTTGGTGCCACCTGAGGCTGGCACAGGAGCTTTCCGGGACCGGGTGCCTGGACTCCCCGGCAGGCTGGGCGGGGCAGGGAAGGGGAGCAAAGGAATGTTGGTAGGGAAAGGTAAAACCCCTGGCCAAGGATTGGGTCCCCTGATTTTCTGACTGTATTTCCTGCCACTGGTTTTCTGACACCTCCTGCAGATTAGCCCCTTTGAGTCAGAGAGAGAGAGAGATTTTCGTCTCCTGGCCTCTGTTAAGAGGAAGCCAATCCGATCTAAGTACAGTACATAAAATCATACCTTGCAATGTCCTACCTGTCAATGAATACCTCAGCTTCAACCATAACAACACAAGAGCAACACAATAGATACAAACTCAAGGTTAACCGCACCAAACTTGATTGCAGGAAATACGACTTCAGCAACAGAGTGGTCAATGTCTGGAATACCCTACCTGACTCTGTGGTTTCTTCCCCAAACCCCAAAAACTTTAACCTTAGACTGTCTACTATTGACCTCACCCCTTTCCTAAGTGGTCTGTAGGGGGCCTGCATAAGCGCACCAACGTGCCCACCGTCCCTGTCCTATTGTTTCTTTTATATATATTGTTTATTTATTTTTCTTATATGTATCCATGTATTCATCACTATGTTTGTACTTATACCTATTGTCTTGTAAGCGATTGACAAATCAAAATAAACAAATAAACAAACAAAAACAAATGAAGTCTCCATGGGAGGTGAAACGGTGCCCTCCGCTGCACTGTCTGCAAACCTTCATTTTCTCTAATTTTCTCCCCTCTTTTCTAAAAACCCAGCGGGACCCCAGGATGTGGGGCCCATTTTCAACACTGCATGTTGGGAAAAATGTGTTCCTTTTAAAAAATAAGGCTCAGCTTTTGTTTGAGTGGCTAGTGAAGAAATGGAGTATAGCTGCTCCTTGACTTACAACAGTTCATTTAGCGACTGTTCAAAGTTACAGTGGCACTGAAAAAAGGGACTTGTGACCATTTTTCAGCCTTATGACAGTTGCCATGCCCCCTTGGTCACATCATCAACATTCAGATGCTTGGCAGCTGATTCACATTTATGACGGTTGCCGCGTGTCAAAATCAGGTGATCTCCTTTTGTGACCTTGTGACAAGTGGAGGGTCATAAAATGCGGCAAAACTCACTGAACAGATGTCTCACTTAAGAACAGAAATGCTGGGCTCAGTTGTGGTCCCGAGTCAAGGACTCCATGTGACGGCAACAGCACTTAGATTCCTATCCCGCCTTGTAGGGCTTTATCCATGTCACTCTGGGCGGTTTGCAGTGTTGAAGTCTTAGGTGCCCTTTGCCTCCAACCATCGGGGTCCCCCTTTGACCGACCTCGGAAAGACAGGAGGCTGAGTCAACCTGTGGCTGGTTGGGATCGAACTGCTGGCAGTGGACCGAGTCTGCCTGTAATGCTGTACTCTAACCGCTGTGCCATTTATTGCATAAGTAAATATGTATTGATGCTTCGCTTATGCTAATAGGGCATACTGTAAAAAGGGAGGAGGGAGAACACCTTGTGACCCTGTGACGTTAAACATGCTGTAACGGTTGGTTAATTCTGCATAAAACCCACCAGTGGCCATTCTGGGGGTGGGATTACGCAGACTTGGAGAGGGAGCTCTCTGTATCCTTCCCTCTGCAGAGCTAAGCTTGTTTTGCAATCTCTACCTCGGGGAGCTCAGTTTGGGTAAAGGGCACGGACCCCCTGCTGAGCTGGGGAAAGAGTCCATAAGTCCTTTGGGTCAACTCCCTCCCCCCCCCTTTCTGTGTATCTCCAGCAATACTGACAGAAGAGAATATTCGTAGCTCACAGTTGAATGGAGGGGTCCTGGGGGCTCTCTTGGAAGCTTGGTGGGCTTCTTGACCCAACTAGGCAACATCATCAGTGCTAGAAGGTCTTGCCCTTTTTTACATATTAATGGCTCCCCCTGTCCTTGGTGCTTCCTGGTTTAGGCTGTTGTTTGTTGTTAGCTTGTTTGTCTGAATTGATAGTTTGGGCTAAACGCTAGAGAACCCTGGCACCCAAGAACAAACCAGCCAGCAACAGGCACATAGAGAGAACAACATCTACAAACCCTTAAAAAACAGCAATGCAAAAAGCCAAAAAGGAAACCAAAAGACCGGAATGCCTCGTCAGCAATCCATAGCCAGGTGAGCAGAGGGGAATGCCAAGACTAACGTTACACCAACAGTCAAGAAGTAAACAATACTCGCATCAAGGAACTACCAGTTCAAACAAATAATCAAACGGGAAACATCAGCCTAATCCAGGAATCCTCAAGAATAGCCCAGCAACACTGACAGGGCAAGGGACCAGCATCTAACAGGGGGCAAGCCCACCCTCTTCTGGCCCTGATGATGTTACCTAATGGGGCCACGAAACATCTGCAAGAAAACCAGCCAGACCAGAGGATCCACGTCAGGATTCCACCGTTGATAAACTAAATGTTTGGTGAGACAGATAACATGAGGTTGAGCAAAACAGCAACAATCAGCCCTGGCCACAAAACCAAACACAAGCAGACCTTGGTCAGATTCCTGGTTAGAGTCCCTTTTCACAAAAGATTGAGTGGCTGGAGGATAATTCCTGTGTACAGTTCTTGCACGCTCATTGAAGGGAACCCTTAATAATGCAGAGAAGTCCAGAATGGGGAGAGGCTCCTTGCAGCTGGAAGGGACCCTTTGGCCCTCATTGCAAAGTCTGTCCTGGGAACCTGCATGAGGATCGGCTCTTGCTTCAGGTGAGCTCCACTCTCATCTTTTAGGGGGACCTCCCTGGTCCCCAGATCTAAAACCGTAGGCTTCCTCTTAGGGCAGGAGCCGTGGAGCCCAGCCCAAGAACGTCGTAAAACAATCCAACCGAGTTCAATTCTTTATTTGCTTACGTCCAACAGACAGAATCTTGCCAAACTAAACCATTGCTAATCTCAGGCCACTGGATATATCCTAAGAGATTCTAGGTAGTAGCTATTCTGACTCTCTTCCTCTGCCCCCGATCCAGCTCCGGGCTGTGCTGACTCTCGTTTGCCCCGCTGCCTCCTCCGTGCTTGGCCTCTGCTCCCTTCTACCTTGGAAACTGATGCTGCACTCGGGTCCATCGCAGCAGCTCCCCCTTCGCAGGCACCATTCACCACGGGGTTACTTTTGCTATACACTCTGCAAATATTTACCGTTTTGAATTGGCTTGAGTTCTGCTACACAAGAAGCTATTATTTTGCCCTTGTGGACTTTGGGCACCGGAGTTTCCTTAAGCAGCCAGAGTCAAAGTCTCACATCCCTGTCTTCCATTCCCTTAGTCAATGCCTACGACCAAGATGCCAGAGCACATGAGTGGGTGGTGGGTGTCACTGACTCCAGAGGAGACCATGGGAAGCTTCTGCAACACCTCCCTTCAGATAGTCAAAGACGACTCTTCTACCCAACGGAGAGGTCGTTTCAGGGAGAGTCTCCCAATGTGGTGCTCTTGGGAGAGCATTTGGAGCACTCCTTGGTCCTCACACCGTAGATGACCGGGTTGAGCATCAGGGGCAGAATGACATACAGGTTGGCAACAAGGATGTGGGCAAAATAGGGGATGTTGTGTCCGAAGCGGTGGGTGAGGAAGGAGAATAAAGCTGGTGTGTAGAAGACAAAAATCACAGCAAAGTGGGAGCGGCAGGTGCTCAAGGACTTCAGCCGGGCCTCCTTGGAGGAGAGCCGGAAAACGGCCTGCAGGATCTTGGTGTAGGAAACGGCGATCAGGGTCAACTCCAGCACAAGGAAGGAAGCAACCCAAAGGCCGTAGAAGACATTGTCATGGATGTCTGTGCAGGCCAGCTTGGCGATACCCATGGGCTCACAGTAGGTATGGGGCATGTTGATGTGGGCACTGCAGAAAGGCAGGTGTTTCGACATCACAGTCATTGGAAATATCAGGCAGGCCGGCTTTAGAGTTATGCCCAGGCAGATCCAGATCACGGTGGCCTGTGTGAGGATGGTGGAGTACCTCAGCGGGTCACAGATGGCCACGTAGCAGTTGAAAGCCATGGTCAGGAGCACCATTGACTCCATCCCCGTGAAGGTGTGGATGAAGAACATCTGGGCCAGGCAGACATCAAAGCTCATCCTGCTCAGGCCAAACCAGGAGATGGCCAGCATCTTGGGCAGGGTGGAGATGGAAAGGCCCAAGTCGACGAAGGAGAGCAGGCAGAGGAAGTAGAACATGGGCTGGTGGAGGCTGGTCTTGGTCTTCACAACGGAGAGGATGGTGAAGTTGCCCAGAAGAGGGATGAGGAACCCAGCACAAAAAGGGATGGAGAGCCACCCATGTGCCTCCTCCAGCCCTGGGACACCCAGCAGGACAAACATGGGAGAGAAGAAATGGGTGCTGTTGGGGGACCACATCCTTTCACCGGGGAGGGGGGTTGCTAGGTGAGGTTTCCCCCACACCGTCCACGCAATCCCTGCCCCCAACAGCTGCACAGCTGCCGGTCAACCAGCAAAGCCCTCCAGAACTACTGTGAGCACCGCTTGCCCGGAAAGTCTCGGGTGGTCAAGGAGCCCAGGTCTTCACGGGGGAACCGCTGCAGAGACACAGGCAGAGTTAGTGGGGAGGGGTCTGCCAGGAGAGGAGCAAGAGGCGTCTCCCTTTGAGCATAATGGGTGGCATTGACGGCCCCGCCTGAAAGAGCCCTGAAGTCCCACCCTGGCCAGGGTCTCAGGGGTGCAGAGACTAACTACGGCTTGGCTGTCCTTTCCCCCCAATGGCTCCAGATCGCCTGGAAGGGCTTCTCTCCGGAGACTTGCAGAATTACTGTCTGTTTGTCCAGTACAATATCATCCTGGTCAGGGGCCACAGCTTGGACTGCAAGTAGCAGAATGGGAGGGTCTGCCTTATCAGATCTTAAGAGAGTTTTAAAAAGGCAGTTACAGACTATGGGATTAGTGGTAATTTTACAAGAGGACTTGTAGAAGGAATAAAAAATGGTTATATAATGATCCCTGAAGATTGGAAGCAAATATTTCGCATGATTTTAACATCCATGCACTATGTGGTTTGGGAGAGTGAATATATGAGACATGCTCAAGCTGCTGCTTTAGGAGGAGGAGGAGCATATACAGTTGAGCAGCTATTTGGTTCTGGACCATTTGGTACAATTCCTGCTCAAGTTGTTCTTCCTCCAGCTACGTTAACTATTGTTTCTGAATGTGCCTTTCGTGCTTTTCTTAAGGTACCCCAAGCTGGAGAACCTAGAGCAAATTTTTTAAACATTTGACAAAATGCCAATGAGCCTTACGCTGACTTTGTTGAGCGTCTGTCCAAAGCAATTAGACAGCAGTTTGATCATCAGGAAGCTGCTGGTGAACTTCTTCACCAGTTAGCTATTGAAAATGCTAATGCAGATTGTAAAAGAGCTTTACAGCCGTTAAAAGCTACTGCTCATTACGCTCTGGCAGATATGCTGTGATCTGCCAGGATATTGGATCACAAACTTATAAAATGCATATGTTAGCAGCTGCTATTCAGAAAGGACAGCAACCAATTGGTAACTGTTTTAAGTGTAAGAAGCCTGGCCCCTTTCAGAAGGACTGTCGTTCTACACCTTCTATGCCTCAGAATCGTCCTTCTAAGAAGTGCCCTATTTGTAAAAAGGGATTTCATTGGGCCAATCAATGTCAATTTCGGTCGGGAAACTTGCCAATGGGTGTGGCACCCACCCAGAATCCAAAGCGTGTCTTTCCCATCACTCTGACTCCTCCAGCAGTCTCTCTCATTCCTCCCCAGCCACAGCCAGTAGTGCTGGGATCGATTTAATCACTCAAGAGGAAATTGAGTTTAAATTTCCCATGGAAGTTAAAATAGTTCCATCTCAATTTAAAGGTCCTCTTCCTTCGGGATTAGTTGGCTTAATTTTGCCTCGTTCTTCTGCAACAAAAAGGGCTGTTTTGTTGTGCCTGGGGTAATAGATTCAGATTACACTGGTATCCTCATGATTCAGATTTGGGTGAATCTTCCTCAAGTTCTTCCTTGTAATTCTTCTGTTGCTCAACTGCTTCTTCTTCCATATGAACTTCCATCTCCTGGTATAGGTAAACATGGGGATGCAGGATTTGGATCAACTTCTTTATCTGTAGGCTTACTTCATCAGCTGAACTCCTCTCATCCTTTGTTAACGCTCTTCCTGAATAAACAACCATTTCAAGGGTTATTGGATACTGGAGCCGATGTTACTGTCATCTCTTTACAGTGGCCAGTACAGTGGCCAAAAACGACAGTTTCTTCATTGTGGGGAATAGGAGGTTCTACAGCTGCTTGGCAGAGTGTTCAAGAAATTAATGTTACAACATCTGCTGGTAAGTCCTTTTTCCTACAACCATACATTCTAGATATTCATGCTAATATTTGGGGCCGTGATATCCTTTCTCTTCTAAATGCCCATTTGATTCTTGATGACGGCTCTTCCTCTTAAATGGCTCTGTTCTACGCTGGTTTGGGTGGAACAATGGCCATTATCAAGGGAAAAACTCGCTGCTTTACAACAATTGGTTCAAGAACAATTGGCTGCTGGTCATATAGAACCTTCTACTAGTCCTTGGAATACTCCTGTTTTTGTTATAAAAAAGAAAAATGGGAAACATAGAATGTTGCACAATTCCTCCATTCCAATTCTTCCTGAATTACAAGTACAGAAATCATATACATTAGTACAATGGCAAAAATTACTTGGCATTATTAATTGGCCACGCCTATTCTTCTACATTACAAGTGGTGATATGTTGCCCTTATTTCAGTCTTTGAAGGGAGCACAATCACCAGGAGATCTAGTTGTATTAACTGATCCTCAAAGAACATGCCTTCAAGAAATATTGAATAAGTTTAAGCATCGATATGCGGACAGGATAACATCCTTAACAATAGGACGTTGCTTAGCTATTCTTCCCACAACACCCTTACCCACGGGATGTCTTTATTCTAATGCGTCCCAGCATGGATTAATTATGTCAGCCACTCTGCCTAGAAACATTTATTCTTATCAATCAGCATTAGAGGATTTGATTATTAAAGGTCGTAAACGAGCCTTACACCTTACAGGACAAGATCTCATTAGCATAGCTTTCACTCGTACAAAAGTTGAACATGAGCATTTGATGATGATTTCAGAATCATATCAGATAGCCTTTTCTCAATATGTGGGAAACTTGTTGTATTCTTTACTCAAGGATCCTAGAATAGTGGTTACTACTACTTTAAATCCAGCCTTTTCTTCCATTTTTGTGCAAAATTCTATTTCTAAAGCTCTTACAGCCTTTACTGATGGATCACCTACAAGGGGTGTAATTGTCTGGCAGATTCAACAACAATGGTATTCTAAATTTACTGCCACACAGACTTCAGCTCAACGTGCTGAGCTGGCTGCTGTGATTTTGGCTTTACAATTGTTCAATGGCCAACCTATTAACTTGATCATTGATACTCAATATGTGTATTTAGCTATGCAATCTCTTCCCTTTTCTTATTGTGCTCTGTCTTTGGATAAGAATTTGTTATCCTTGTTTTTATCTTTAAAGAATACTTTGGAAACTCGCTTGTATTCTTTGTATGTAGAACACATTCGAAGTCATACTCCCTTTACTAATGCCTTGACTGAAGGAAATCAGAAGGCAGATGAATCCTTAAAGGATGTTGCGTCTTTGTCTGCTGATCCTGTTGCTAGTCATTCTTATTTTCATCAAAATTCCAAATCACTTGCAAAGCAATTTAAAATTTCATTTTCTGAAGCCCGGGATATTGTCCGTGCTTGTCCAGCTTGTCAGCAACTGGCAGTTCCCTTTCCAGTGGGTGTCAACCCACGAGGAACCCAAGCTAATCAAATTTGGCAAATGGATGCAACTCAGTTTTCAACCTTTAAGCCATACTGTTCTCTTCACACGTCTATTGACACTCATTCACATTTCCTTTGGGTTACTGCTTCAAAACATGAACGTACTTCAGATGTTATTTCTCATTGCCTATCCTCTTTTGCTGTAATGGGTCGGCCTTCTCAATTTAAAACTGACAATGGCCCCGCTTATATTAGTAAGGAATTTCAAACCTTTTGTCAGAAATGAAATATTACTTTAGCGCACGGAATTCCTTACAACTCTCAGGGTCAAGCTATAGTTGAGCGAGCTCATCGTACTTTTAAGGCATTGCTTCAGAAACAATTACAAGCTGAATCTGGCCCTTACCATCTGTGAAAGATTCAAAATCTCATTGCTGTAGCATTATATACTTGGAATTATTTAACCTTTTTAGATTCTCTTGCAGACTCACCGGTTAATTTACATTTTTGAACTACTGAATCTTTAGCAAGGCCTTTGGTAAAGTACCGCCCAGCTCCAGATCCAACCTGGAAAGGCCCTACACCACTGATCACCTGGGGTCATGGTTACGCCGCCGTGGAAGATCCTTCTACTCGACAAGCAGTGTGGGTTCCAGTGCGCTGTGTTCGTCTGTATCATGGCATGGCATCAGGGCCTTCACAACCCGATTCCGGATTTCAATCTTCATCTGAACACGGAAGTCCGTCTTCCAAGCTCAAAGTGCCCGCAACCCATCACTTGGGTCCAGGTTAAATCTACTGCATATCAAGCTCAACAACAATGGCAACAGGCCTCGTTACCTCAGACTCCTGAAAATCTTGTTGCTGCTGTTTTTGCTATTTTTACTGCTAACTCTGTTACCATTTTACTTTGTATTTTCTTGTTTGTGGTTAATGGTGTTTCTGCTCAAAATGACACTTCTGTGGTTCGTCTTAACCCTAATTTGTGGGTTCGTCATGCCCAATACATGTTTATGACCCATGGCACAAATATTACTTTATACTATGAGCCCCCAGTGGCATTTGGTCAAATTTCTTTTACCCCTAACTTGATCGTGTCTTCTACATTTCTTGTCTCACAACTACAATCTATTTCACACTCCTGGCTATTTTCTACACCTCCTATGCAATTGAATTTTGTCCGTTGGCGTTACTTGAAAGTTAGTCAATTTACAAGGGGTCTGTGTTTCTGTTGTCACGCTAAACACACTTAGCTTCATAACTGGTCTGATTATGATGCTGTTCAACACATTAAAAAAGCTGGGGAATTATAGTTATTGTTCTGACTACTAATGGTTGTCAGGTACCTTTAATTCTTCTTTGTATAGAATTAATATAGCTCCTGATATGTATCCTGACAATTTTCCTATTTTTAATGCCTCTGATCACTAATACAGGATCGATATGCGCTGGATGGCAGCTTCAGGATCCTAATATGTGGTTCTTTTTTGATAAATATGCCACCAATGTGCATCCTCAGAATTATCAATGTGCAGCTATAGGTTATTTTACTCTACCTGTTCAAATAGGTACGCTCCCATCAACTCGACAGCGGCGTTCCTCTCTGGGGCCTACATGTAATGATGAAGTTATTATTGACACACAATTGTCTTCTGGTTCTACATTTGGCCGTGCATTGGCAGGGGCCGTT